GCTGGACAACAGAGAAGAGGTGAGATTTTGCCATTGTAAATTTAGGGGAAGTGAGTGTCAAAGGGTGAGCTGTGCGTGAGTTGGTGCGTGCTGCGTCTCCCGTGTTCCATGGGAAACCACCGGGGAAACAGGAGAGGGAGAGGGAGGACGTGCAGGAGAAGGAGGTGTGCTGGGAGTGGGAGCCCTCTCTGCAGCATTTGGGCAGGTGAAGAAGAGCCAGAAAGGGCAGCCAAGGCAGCGCCCGTGTTGTGGGAAAGAACCAAAGGGAAAGCAAAACCCATTGGGGGCTGAGCTGTTAGCTCAGGTCCCCCCTGCCCCATGGTCACTACCCTGCCCAATGGCAGCATATCCACCAGGCTAAGGAGGGAGAGCCCCCAGCAGCCCCGCAGGATCCTACCTGAGCCCAGCTGGAGGAGGAGCAGAGTGACGAGGGAAGTCAGGAGGCCCCTGGCATGACCAGTGAGGCTGGGGCGGCCACAACCCCAAGGTAGCCCCATCTGTGCTGCAGTGGGAGCAGGTGCTGGGGGCAGAAACAGGAGCGGAAGAGAGAGTGGAGCAAGGGGCTGCAAGCACCACAAGAGGATGGAGAAGGAGTCCCCTTGGGACTGGACAGAAGGAGCCACAGACAGCAGTGCCTTGGGCAGGGGGCAGTGCCTGCGCTTATCATCACTGTGGGACACAGCAGGCGGCCCCCAGGGGTTCTTCTCCAAGGGAGCCCCACCAAGATAGACATCCCTCACCACACCCAGTAGAGCTGCAGAAAGTTTAAGGCTACGCCCAACTTCCCCAGCCTGTGCCCAGTTCCTGGCTGCAATAACCCTCTGGGAGCAGCTGTGCCCTGGTGCAAAGGGAACAAGTGTCTGGGGAGCTCTGCACGACTGGCATCACCAACCCATTACAGCCTGGTGCCCAGTTCAACGCCTTCAGCCAGCAGGAGGAGCTTGTCCCCAGCAGGGGCCTCTCCAGACTACCAGTTAAAGCCACTCTCTAGGCTCATTCATCTCCACCCATTTAAGGAGGAGTCAAACAGTGAGTATTGGGACCACGTGGAGGTGCATAATGTCATCTTCAGACCTCTCCAAATTAAGGGTCTTTGGTCTTGGAATTTAAGCTGTCAAACATTGCCCTATTTTCCAAGAACGTCAACACAGAAGGCCCTGGGAATTACACCCTATCAGTGAATCCTATCTGTGCCCTGACTGCAGGATGGTCTTCACCGTTCCCTCAGCTTTCCTCCTTTGCAAGAAAAGCCATGTGGAGCCCAGTCCTCATGTCTGCTCCAACTGCAGGAAAGCCTTTTAGGAGACCACGACCCTCCACAGGCGCTAGCACATCCACATGGGTGAGAAGCCCTAGTGCTGCTTGTATTGTAGAAAAGCTTTTGGACCAGCTCCACCCTCATCATCCACCAGAGGATCCACACCAGGGACAAGGGGGGCCTTTAGGTCTCCATCCCCACGACATTGTAGCTCCTTCACGTCCCATCCATCCTAGAACTTGAGTTTTGCTGATGCTTGTGCTTTCAACTCCAAGTATAACTTTTACTGTTCCTCCAAAACAACCCCCTTAAGATGATTTGTGTGAATTGAGGAGAACCAGGCATGCAGCTGTTGGTCATGGCGCAGCTTCTTGTAGTGCTTAGGAAAAGCAGTGGTGAGTCAGTCCCCAGTCCCAGGATGGCTTTGGGGTTGGTGGGAGCCCAGTGGGATGGAGGACGATGGGGTTTTGGAGATGGTAGGACCCCACTGGGATGAAGGTGGATGGGGTTTGTGGTTGTGAGTCTCCACTGGAATGCAAGACAATGGAATTTTGGGTGGTGGGACTGTTCTGGGAGGAAGGAACATGGGGTTTGGGGATGGTGGGATCTTGGTGGGATCTCAGTGGGATAAAGGATGAGGGGTTTTTGCGATGGTGAGACCCGATGTGGATGGAGATGGATGGTGGTATTTGGAGACTGCTTAGCTTGGCTCATGCATTGAGAACCAGATGGAGGAGAGCATCTGTGTCTCCTCATTGTGTAGCTGGGTTCAGAGATTCTTCTTAGCTTCCCACCTTCATATATTGAAACCTTGAAAGAGGCCAAAGGAGTCCTGCAGCCACGGAGGCTCCATCTCACTGAGGTTTGGTCTGCTTGGATCACACATTTCTATTGGATGCAGCGTCTTCCAAATACATGTTTCTTCCCCTGGTTCCCCGCTGTGTTTGCTCTTAATTTTAATGCATCACATTTAAAATACACCCCAACGCAATTGGCTCGAGAGTGACTGCCTTTTCCATGCTTGCTTTAAAATGAGGTGCAATAAATTGTAATTGGTTTGTGGGAGTGCAGGGTTGTTATTGATTGCTGAGAGTTCGGGGAAGCAGGGGTAGCCCCATGGCTCCTTCAAGCCCATCTCATGAAGAATTTGGATGCTGGGAGGTGAAACATGAGCAGAGCAGGTTGGTTGTTGGCGCAGGGAGGTGGCTTGCACAGACCTTATGGAGAGCTTCAAGTCTGAGGCCACATGCTGTGTATTCTTGGAGGACTTCCAAGAGCTCATGCCGACCCCGTGGGCACAGCTGGGGAACTGAGAACCGGGAGCAGCAGGGGACTGCTGCAGCTGCACTCCACCCACCTCGCCACCCAGATAAACAATGACAGCACCTGGGTGCAGCGCATTTAGGCTTGGCACCAGGCCTGCAGTGACCTGGCCCTGCGCTACTGGGACTGGACGGCGCTGAGGCAGAGTGAGCCCCTGGGGGGGCTTGGCGTGGGGCTGTGGTGTGGAGGTGTTGCAGGAAAATTTTGCCTAGGGTGTTACACAGGACTGTTGCAGAGCATGTTGCATGGGGGTGTTGCATGGAGGATAGCAGAGGAGTGTTGCAAAGGCCAATGCATGGAGTTGTTGCCGAGCTTGTTGCATGGACTTGTTGCATGGATTTGTTGCATGGGGGCATTGCACAGGGGTTTGCGGAGCATGTTGCATGGGATAGTTGCACAGGGGTGTTCAATGGGGGTGTTGCACAGGGGTATTGTAGAGCTTGTTGCAAGGAGATGTTGCACCGGGCATTGCACAGGGCTGTTGCAGAGCACACTGTGTGAGGACGTCACAGGGGGATGTTGCACAGAGCACTGCACAGCGCATTGCATTGGGCATTGCAAGGGGATGTTGCGCAGAGCAATGCCTCTTGCAGGGTGTGGCACAAGGGCGTTGCACAGGGCATCGCATGGGGATGTCGCATTTGACATCGCATGGGACAATGCCTAGAGCTTGCACAGGGCGTTACATGGGGAAGTGGCATGGGGAAGTTGTGTGGAGCTTTGCATGGGAGCATTGCACAGCATTGCGTGGGGACGTTGCACAGGGCAGGGAAAAGGGGCTCGCCCACCACTGACCCCATCCCCAACCCTGCTCCAGCGCAGCCCCAAGTCCGCATCATCCCCGCGGAGACGGGGAACGCCCGTGTGCCCGTGCGCCTCAGCTGCCACATCTGGGGCTTCTACCCCCCCGAGGTGACCGTCATCTGGCTGCACAACGGGGACATCGTGGAGCCCGACGACTACAACCCCATCTCTGCCATCCCCAACGGCGACTGGAGCTACCAGACGCAGGTGTCCCTGCTGGTGGCCCCGGTGGCAGGCGACACCTACACGTGCTCGGTGCAGCACGTCAGCCTGCAGGAGCCTCTCCTGGAGGACTGGAGTGAGTGGAGATGCGCAGGACCGCATCCTGAGGCTGGTGGTCTTGGCTCCTTGCTGCCACTCACCCGGCCGTGTCCCCACAGGTCCTGGACTGATGCCGGAGGTGACGATACTGGTGGTGGTGGCCACCGTACTGATGGTGCTGGGACTTGGCTTATTTCTCACCGGCGTCTACCGCTACAAGGCCAGGCCTCCTGCCCCAGGTGAGGGTCTGGGGAGAGCTGGGGCCATGGTCAAGGGTGACGAGGACTCTGCTCACTCCTCTTCTCCCCCCCGCAGGTTACACTCCCCTCCCTGGAGACAACTACCCCGCAGGTAACGGTGTCCCCATCCCCGTCCACATCAGTGAGGGGCAAATTACCCCATCTCTCACCCTGTGTGTCCCCCCCTTCCCCAGGCAGCATCTGAGGACCCCCAGACGGACACCTCCTGGCACCGGCGGCTCCCGTTTGGCCCCATCTCAGACCCAATGTCATGGTGCTGACAATAAAGATGCTCCACAAGTCCTGCTGGTGTCTCTGCAGAGTTCTGTGCAGAGGGCAGAGGCTCATGCACTCCTACATTGTCTCACCAAGAGGAGCGGGTGTGTGGGGGCCATGGCATGGGACCTCAAAGGGCCAAGCGTGCCCTGGGGTTCCTCAGGCATGGTACTGCTGGCCGGCCGAGGGAAGGGATCGTCCCGCTCTGCTCGGCCTGCTGCGGCCTCGCCTCGAGCACTGCGTGCAGCTGTGGGCACCGCAGCAGACGAAGGGCGTGAAACTGTGCGAGAGCCTCCAAGGGAGGGCTACGAGGATGGCAAAGGCTCTGTGGGGCAAGGCGTGTGAGGAGACGGTCTTCTGCAAGACGCCTTCCCAGGCAGCAAGGCCTCAGGACACAAAGCACCCAGGAAATGCCACTGCCAGACTCCATCTTCCTGTGCAAAACTTTATTTGACACAGTCTGCTGCTGCTGGGTCTTGGATAGATATACTCCAGAGGAGGGAACAAAGAGCCCCCACAGGCTGCTCATGATCAGCACCAGGCACAGAGCAAGGATCAACCCCAACCTAGGAGGCAAAGGTGGCCTGCAATGGCCAGCAGCACACAGTGACCACATCCCTTGCCCTGGGGTCTGCAAGCAGTGCAAGCAGAGGGGAGAGGAGTGTGGAGAGCTGCTGCAGCCCCTGTGCTGCCTACTGGGGCTCAGAGGCAGGGTGAGACCCGTGGGTGCCAGCAGGGCTTGTGCCCCAGCACAGGAGCCACGTGCAGGGCAGAGCCCAGGGGCTGCAAGGGGCCTGGCCCCTGCTTGCAGCATCCCAGCCCTCCTCCAGCAGCAGGGAGGAACACAGGGCAGCCCCTGGCCCCACTGCCCCTCATTCCTGTGCTGCTCCTGCAGGACAAAGGAGAGGTGATGCAGGAGTGTCTGGAGAAGGGCAGGAGCCCCCCGGGGCTGGGGACAGGGTCTGGGGAGTGCTGTCCCTGAGGCACAGCTGGACGCTGCCTGGCACCAGCCAGAACCAAGGACGGATGCTCTCCCCATTGATGGAGGCTGCTGTGAAAGTGAAGATTTCGACCCCATTGTCAGCGTTGATAAAAGACACTTGCCTCTGGGTACAGTCCAGACAGACCCAGATCCTTGTGGGGACAGGGGACAGGGATAAGGGGGTGCGAGGAGATGTGAGAGATGTGAGGTGCCCATCATTGCACTGCACAGCCCAGATCCCTCCTTCAGGGCTCCTTTTGAAATACCCCTTCCTCTCCACAGAAGCCCTGGCCAACCCCACAGCCCACCGTGAATTCTTTAGCCGCTCTCCCTCCACCTCCACCAACCAGCAGTGCCTCCCCTCTCTGAACTCCTCACGGCCCAGCACGCAGCACCGGTAGTCAAATCTCTCTGGTGTGTCAGGCACCTGCTGCCATTCACTTTCGCATCTAACACTGCAGTTGTCCTGAGACAGGACAAGCTGGGGATGAGCGGTGTCCGGATCCAGGGTCACCTTCACTGCAGGGACAGAAGGAGCCAGGCCATCAGGGGCAGAGCTCAGCCCTGGGCAGGCTTTCTCCAGCTCGGGGCCAGGAGCTGCCCCACGGGGCAGGAGATGGGGCACCTCTTGGCTCCTGAGCACGGGGAATGAGAAGCACTGCAGAGGGCAACCCAGTGCACACCTACCTCTATTTTGAAGCAGCAGACACCTTCTCCATGCTGCAAGGAGAGGGGAGAGCTGGTCACAGCCATGGCTGGTGCCCAGTGGGTGTGGGCAGGGTGAGGGGCCAGCCCTGGGCTGCTCTGTCCCGGCTGCACACCTTCCCCTGCACATCACGGTTGTGTTGCCCCTGGGGTCTGAGCACCAGGAGACTTACCCAGCTCTGCAGCTTGTTTCACTACAAATGTAAGAGTAAAGCAAAATATGAGAAGAAGGCACAGGTCCTACTTCCATATATCTCACTATGATGACTTTTTTTTTTTTTCTTTTCATTTTGGAGAATGAGACTTACCCAGCTCTGCAGTTTGTTCATCTACAAACGAAAGAGAAAAGCAATGCATTGATGAGAGAAGTCAGCTTCGCATCAATGACTGCTACAAACCAAAGACCCCAAATTCCTTCAGTTGTGGGGGGAAGAGAGACTCACCCAGTCTTGCAACTTTTTCCTCTGGAAAAGAAAATTACAAGGAATGCAAGATCAGAGGGAAAAACTTCCCATCCATTGTCTACACTGCAAATTCTTCCAGTTCAGGGATGGACACTCACCTATCTCTGCAGCCTGTTCCACTGGAAAAGAAAAAGAAAAGCAATGTACGGTCAGATGGGAGTATGCCCATGGTAAGACACCAAATGCCTTCTCTTTGGGGAAGGAGACTTACCCAGCTTTGCATCCTTTTTGGCTGTTATATAAATCAAAAGGAATGAATGGTCAGAGTGGAGAGACTTTCAATACAATACTGCTTCCATGGCTAGATTGCTAGACCACAAAATTTTTGCTCTTGAGTATGTGCACAGACCAACTTGCTCTCAGACTTGTAGTAACCAGACTAACAAAGACTGAGGCCCATCCTCTTGCAAGACTTGTAGCATTAAGGACAGACACTTGTGCAGCTCTCTGCACCGTGCCACCAAAAGACAAGGAGAAGTGAATTGGGACGGGTGGAGGACGTCCCTCTCCCAGAAGCGTCAGTGCAGAGTGGGACAGCCCCGCAGCTTGCTTCCCGTCCCCACCTTGATCCCTGTTCCTTTCAGCCATCCCGGCCGTGTCCTGTGCCCAGGGCAGCCCCAGCCCCAGCACTCCCCATTCCCACCCCAGGCTCCAGCTGCTCCTCCAGCACCCCCGAGCCACCAGCACACAAGCCCTCAGAGCCCACCCACACCAGGCCCAGTCCCTACCGCAGGGACACCACTTCCCCAGGGGCTGGGGGCAGGGACTGCAAGGACTCACCCAGCTCTCGGCTCTGTGCCGCTGAAAAGCAAAGGCAGAAGAACAGGTGGTGAGCAGAGCAGCTTGGTTGCTGGGTGGGAACATGTGCAGGGGGGCTGCGCCTTGCTACCATCCCCACGCTGCAGCCATGCTCCCTGGCCTCCCACCCAAGGCCCCTTGCTCCAGACCCACGCGGGTCCCTGCAGAACACCTCCCTGCACTCCATCCCTGCTCTGCCAGCTTACCTTGCTTTCGAAAGAGATAAACACCGAGGCCAATGGACACAGCCAAAAGCACGAGGACCACAGCCAGAGCCACCTTCCAGGGCTGGGCGTTGTGGAAGAAGGGAGCTGAGAAAAGGCACCAGGAAAAGGGCTGTATTTTCATGCCCGCAGGTGGAAGAGCAAGATCCAGACTTCTCCTGGGTTGGGACAAGTGCAGGGGCCAGGAACACCTCACCCTGGCTGTGCCATTTGTACCTGCGATTTGCAGGGATGATTCCCGCTCCTGCTGGATGCGGCTGCTCCTGACCACGCATGACAAGGGCCCCTCCACGCTCCCGGTAACGATGACGGCGCCTTCGATTTCAAAGAGCCCCTCCTGGTCCTGGGAATGTGTCTGGGAGACCGAGGGCAGGTGCTGCCCGCGAGCATCCCTCCACAGCAGCTGTGGCAGCGGGTACCAGCCGGCCGATCCACACAGCACCCAGACGCCTCCGGCCTCGTAGCCCCCCAGGGAGAGGTGGGGGTCAGCGCCTGTGGCTGGGGAAAGAGCGTGTGGCTGGGGCTTGACCTGGGGAGGGATTGAGTTCCAAGGCAAAGAACCCATCTGCTCCCATGACATACACATCCCAGAGCAAACACGGTCCATGTGACACTTTGGACTGGGTGCTCAAAGGAGCCACCATCATCCTAAAGTATCCTGGCTTGTGCAGGACCTAGAGAGCAGAGGTGCACAAAGCCAGTCACCCCAAATCACGTAGAAAACCCAGGTGTCAAGCTTCAGCACGTCCAGGCAGCATCTGTTCACCAAGCCGTGCTGGTTCAAGAAGCCCCGAGACTTCCTGACAATGTCTAAGGTCTCTCCTAGCACAGAAAGCAAAAGTAACGCAGATGCCCAGCTGCTCAGAGGCCTCTGTGATTCTCCCTGTGTGCTGTTTGGTCTCACTGATGACACAGCTGAAGGTGCTGCTCAGCAGCCTGTGCCCAGTGCCCTCAAAATATTATGATTATTGTCTTCAAGGACACAAGTGAAAACTGACAAAACTATCCAGGGAGCTCTCTCCCCAGATATTACCTCCACATCCATGGGCATGCTCCATGCTGTGAAACAGCTGAAACATTCAAAGGACACATAAACTCTGCCCTGGCACAATCACCCAGCCACTAACCTGACACCTCCAGCTCCACAATGGCTTCATCATAAGCATCAGCATCTCCCACTGTGCAGACATACTGGCCATCATCAGAGGGTCTCAGCCCCGTGATTCGCAAGTCCAGTCTTCCAGCAGAGAGACCATCTCTGACCAACTCTGTCCTCCCGGCATATGCCCCCATCTGCTCCCCGTACAGGTCCTGTCCATTGCGGTAGTGGTGCACTGTCTCAGAGATTTGGTCCCGGATCCACCTGACCTCCAAGCTGCGAGCATCGCGTTGAGGGGACAAGTGGCAGGACAGCACGACATCCTGCCCCACAGTGGCAGTGACAGAGTGTCCTGGTCCCACCACTCTGAGCTGGGCTGGGCGATGGAGAAGGGCACAGAGAGGCGGTGAGTTTTTGCCATTGTAAATTTAGTGTCAGTGAGTATCAAAGGGCGAGCTGTGCGCGAGTTGGTGCGTTCTGCGTCCCCTGTGTCCCATTGGAGACCAGCGGGGAAACAGGAGAGGGAGAGGGAGGACGTGCAGGAGAAGGAGGTGTGCTGGGAGTGGGAGCCCTCTCTGCAGCATTTAGGCGGGTGAAGGAGACACAGAAAGGGCAGCCAAGACAGTGCCCGTATTGCGTGAAAGAACCAAAGTGAAAGTGAAACCCAGCGCGGGCGAGCTGTGGGCTCGGGTCCCCCCTTTCCCACAGCTGCTCCCCTGCCCCGCAGCAACACGTCTATCAGGCCCAGGGGGGAGAGCCCCCAGCAGCCCCGCAGGATCTTACCTGAGCCCAGCTGGAGGAGAAGCAGAGTGACGAGGAAAGTCAGGAGGCCCCTGGCATGGCCGGTGAAGCTGTGGTGGCTGCAGCCCCAGGGGAGCCCCATCTCAGAGAGAGGTCCTCAGGGGGGCAAGCAGCCCCCCAGGGGTCCTTCTCCAAGGGAGCCCCACCAAGATAGACCTCCCTCGGGGCACTCAGCAGAGCTGCAGAAAGCACAAGGCTACGCCCAACTTTCCCAACCTTTGCCCAGTTCCTGGCTGCAATAACCCTCCTGGAGCAGCTCTGCCCCTAGGGCAATGTCTGGGGAACTCTGCAGGGCTGGCACCACCATCCCATTGCAGCTGGGTGCCCAGTCCACTGCCTTTAGCAAGCACGAGGTGCTTGTTCCCAGCAGGGGCCTCTCCAGACCTCCAGGGAAAGCCACTGGCTAAGCTCGTTCATCTCTGTGCATGCCAGAAGGAATCAAACTGTGAGCAATGGGAAAATGTGGAGAGATGGCAGTGAAGAGCTGATCAGGATCGGAGGCTGCAGGGAACGGGGCACAGCTGGGTGTCGAGCCCAGAGCTGCCACCCTTTTCCCAGGTTGCTGAAGGCAAAGTGCCAGTGCCTCTCCCGGTTCCAGTAAAGCAGCCGTGGCATAAGGTTTGCTCAGATGGGCAGGGACCTTCTTCTAGAGCTTAGGTGGATAAGGAAAGTATCTTGTTTGCTGGAGGTGAGGTCAGTCAATATGGAAGGACTACAATGGTACTGTTTGCTTTTGTAGGGAGAAAATTCATATGGCCAAAGCTCAATTTGAGTGGAAGCTGGACAGTAATGTGAGGGGCAATAAAATGTTTTTGTTTTTGTTTTTGTTTTTTTAGACTATCTTAACAGCAAAAGTAGGATGAAAGAAAGCATTGGTCTGTTACTTGATGGGGATAGTCAGACAGGGTCATTCACAGAGATGTTTATTGCTTTCTTTGCCTTCAACACTGATGCTGGGCTGTGGGACTCCAGGTGCCCTGAGCTGGAGGACAGTGACTGCAGGAACGATATAGTCCCAACAAATCCCGAATTTGTGTGGGATTTGCTGCTCCAGATGAATGCATACAAGACTATAGGGCCTGATGGGATTCATCCCAGAGTACGAAGAGAACTGGCTGAAGGCATACATCTTCCCCTCAAGGCCCTTCACCATCTCTGTGGCCCTTCTCTGGACACTCTCCAATAGTTTCACGTCCTTCTTGTGCTGTGGTGGCCAGAACTGCACAGAGTCCTCAAGGTGAGGTTACACTATGCAGAGCAGAGAGGGACAATCACTACCCTTGACTGACTAGCAATGCCGTGCTCGATGCACCCCAGGATACGGTTGGCCATCCTGGCTGCTAGGGCACACTGCTGCCTCATGTTCATCTTGCTGTCAGCCACAACCCCCAGATCCCTCTCTGCAGGGCTGCTCTCCAGCGTCTCATCCCCCAGTCTGTACGTATAGCCAGGGTTGCTGTGTCCCAGGTGCAGCACCTGGTACTTGCCTTTGTTAAACTTCATGCAGTTGGTGATTGTCCAGCTCTCCAATCTGTCCAGATCTCCCTGCAAGGGCTTTCCACCCTCATCCGAGTCAACAACTCCTCCCATGGGATGCCATCCTTCCCCAAATTATCCTACATGGGCTTCCCACAGGCAGCAGCTCTCCAGCAACTGTCCCAGTATGGGTCTGTAGTATGGAGTACATCTGTCAGGAGCAAACTGTTCCAATCTGGGTCGTGCATGCATGACAACTCTCCTCCAGAGCTCCTGATCCTGCGGGGGCTCCTCTCCATGGGCTGTGGCTCTGGCCTGGGGCCTGCTTCTGTGGGGGTTCTCCATGGGCTGCAGCCTCCTCCAGGCCCCTTCCACCTCCTGCACCGGGGGCTCCTCCATGGGCTGCAGTGTGGAGATCTGCTCCACCTGTACTCCCGCTCCATCCACTAACTGCCACAGTCCCCTAACGTCCAGTTTGATAGCCTTCAGGCTTCTCTCTTCAATGTCAGCACTGCCAGCCTGCACTATCAAAGGGGATAGTAGACAGAGGGGCAAACGAGGTTGGGAATTTTTCTGGCAATTTCCTTGACCCTGGCCCCAGGGAGGAAGCAGACTTCCCTACAGCTAGGGTCAGGCTGACAATTAGGGCCTTTTGTTCCCCTGAGAAGTGAGTCGCCTACAACAATCTCCCTTCTTTCTGTCCTGGTGGAGGCAGTCCTGAGGCGTGGAGTCGACTTCCTCACCCTAGGCATCCTCCTGGCTACACTTTCTACCTCTTCCTCAGCTCCCGGTCTCTCAAGCTCCAGAGCTCCAAACCTGTTGTGTAAGGGCACCTGGGAAGGTGGGGCCTTTTGGGGAGGGCATCGCCTGCGATGTCGAGCAGGGACCTGTCTCCATTCCTCCTCAACTCCTAGGTCCCCTCCCTCTGTCCAACATCGACAGGGGAGGGGGTCCACCCCCATTTGGGGTGTCTCACCCCGGTACCTCTCCTTCAGGCCCCACAGGGACTTGCCCCACCACTCTAATTCCCGCTCACACTCCCTGATAGCCCTCAACCTCTCCACCTCCTCCTTGAGTTCTGCCACCATGCGGACCAGGTCATCCACCTGCTCGCACCTCACACACACACAGTCTCTCTGCCTCCCGCAGAGGGCAGCAAGAGGCTCAGACACTCCCTGCACCCAGAGACGTGAACTGGTGCATTTTTGAGCGGGCAGTCAGTCTGGGTGAGTACAGACTTGCTAGAGAGAGCACTGTGCCTGGTGGAGACCATTGCAGCCTAGCTAGTGGTAGACCGCCGTTAGAGGAGTTGTTCATATGGTCTGGGGGAGGAACGCTCTGCCCTCCCTTCTCGCCCTGCCTGCATGAATTGCCTGCCACTCCCTTCTGATGCGCCATGTCCTGTTTGCCCATCCTGGTCACCTTGTTCCTGGTTGTCTTGCTTCCCAGGGGCAGCTTTTGAAGAGCCAAGCACGGGGCCTTTCTGGCTCTGCCTACGCCTTGTTAGCCTCCCTCGCAAGGGCTGCTGGGTCCTGTCGGCTCCCTCAAGTGGCCTAATGCTGGAAAAAAATAGCCCTGCCTGTCAGATCCCCTACTCCACTGCAGGAAGAGTCTGCCCTGGAGCTGATCGCCTCGGCAAGATGATGCACTGGGCATTGCATGGGGGTGTTGTAGAGCACACTGTGTGAGGACGTCTCAGGGGGATGTTGCACGGAGCACTGCACAGCACATTGCATTGCCCTTTGCAAGAGGATGTTGTACAGAGCATTGCCTCTTGCAGGGTGTGGCACAGGGGCGTTACACAGGGCATTGCATGGGGATGTCATACGTGACATTGCATGGGATAATGCCTAGAGCTTTGAATGGGAGCATTTCATGGGAGCGTTGCATGGAACGTTGTGTGGGGACGTTGCACAGGGCAGGGAAAGGGGCTTGCCCACCACTGACCCCATCCCCATCCCTGATCCAGTGCAGCCCCAAGTCCGCATAATCCCTGCAGAGATGGGGAATGACCGTATGCCCGTGTGCCTCAGCTGCCACATCTGGGGCTTCTACCCCCCCGAGGTGACCGTCATCTGGCTGCACAACGGGACATCGTGGAGCCCGATGACTACAACCCCATCTCCGCCATCCCCAACGGTGACTGGAGCTACCAGACGCAGGTGTCCGTGCTGGTGGCCCCGGTGGCAGGCGACACCTACACGTGCTCGGTGCAGCACGTCAGCCTGCAGGAGCCTCTCCTGGAGGACTGGAGTGAGTGGAGAGGCGCAGGACCGCACCCGGAGGCGGGCAACCTTGGCCTCCAAGGGAGGGCTACGAGGACGGCGAAGGCTCTGCAGGGCAAGGCGTGTGAGGAGACGGTCTGCTGCAAGACGCCTTCCCAGGCAGCAAGGCCTCAGGACACAAAGCACCCAGGAAATGCCACTGCCAGACTCCATCTTCCTGTACAAAACTTTATTTGACACAGTCCTGTTGCTGTGGGCCTTGATGTGCTCCAGAGGAGAGAACAAAGAGCCCCCACAGGCTGCTCATGATCAGCACCAGGCACAGAGCAAGGATCAACCCCAAACTAGGAGGCAAAGGTGGCCTGCACTGGCCGGCAGCACACGGTGACCACATCCCTTGCCCTGGGGTCTGCAAGCAGAGGGGAGAGGAGCGTGGAGAGCTGCTGCAGCCCCTGTGCTGCCTGCTGGGCTCAGAGGCAGGGTGAGACCCGTGGGTGCCAGCAGGGCTTGTGCCCCAGCACAGGAGCCGCGTGCAGGGCAGAGCCCAGGGGCTGCAAGGGGCCTGGCCCCTGCTTGCAGCATCCCAGCCCTCTTCCAGCAGCAGGGAGGAAAGCAGGGCAGCCCCCAGCCCCACTGCCCCTCATACCTCTGCTGCTCCTGCAGGATCAAGTAGAGGTGATGCAGGAGTGGTTGGAGAAGGGCAGGAGGTCCCCAGGGCTGGGGACAGGGTCTGGGGGGTGCTGTCCCTCAGGCACAGCTGAATTCCCAGAGTCTCCACCCAGAACCAAGGGCGGAGGCTCTCACCACTGAAGGAGGCTGCTGTGAAAGTGAAGATCTGGACCCCATTGTCAGCGTTGATAAAAGACACCTGCCCCTGGGTACAGTCCAGACAGACCCAGATCCTTGTGGGGACATGGGACAGGGACAAGGGGGTGCGAGGACATGTGAGAGACTTGAGCTGCCCCTCATTGTACTCCACAGCCCAGATCCCTTCTTCAGAGCTCCTTTTGAAATACCCCTTCCTCTCCACAGATGCCTTGGCCACCCCCACAGCCCACCGTGAATACTTTAGCCGCTCTACCTCCACCACCACCATCCAGCAGTGCCTCCCCTCTCTGAACTCCTCACGGCCCAGCACGCAGCAACTATCGTCAAATCTCTCTGGTGTGTCAGGAACCTGCTGCCATTCACTTTCGCATCTCACACTGCTGTTGTCCTGAGACACAACAAGCTGGGGATGAGCCGTGCGCGGATCCAGGGTCACCTTCACTGCAGGGACAGAAGGAGCCAGGCCATCAGGGACAGAGCTCAGCCCTGGGCAGGCTTTCCCCAGCTCGGGGCCAGGAGCTGCCCCACGTGGAGGAGATGGGGCACCTCTTGGCTCCTGAAGATGCCCCAGCAAGGGCAGGAGAAGCACCGCAGAGGGCAACCCAATGCACACCTACCTCTATTTTGAGGCAGCAGAAACTTTCTCCATGCTGGAAGGAGAGGGGAGAGCTGGTCACAGCCCATGGCTGGTGCCCAGTGAGTGTGGGCAGGGTGAGGGGCCAGCCCTGGGCTTCTCTGTCCCGGCTGCACACCTTCCCCTGCACATCAAGGTTGTGTTTCCCCTGGGGTCTGAACAC